ATCACTGCATGATATATGGCATTTACCCTTTAATAGGTGGAGCCTGCAACTCTTGTTCCATTGGCCAATCAATGCAAAAAAGTTTTTCTGGTACGTTTCGTTGCTGCTGCATTAGAAAATCCTCTCTATATGCTACGTTTTCATCAGTATTTTAACTTGCACTTGTCATGCCCCCCGAAAAAAAATCTCGATTATGCCCAGTTTTAGTTGACTCATATTTTTATGCTAATAATATATGAGATGGTAGTTATTAATGCTTGGCAAAGTGGAAAGATTCTTCTCCTTCCTGTTGTTTCTTCTCTTTTCTCAAAGTTTCTTTCATTAAAATAAATATATAATTTTTAGAAAATTAAGTGTTTGTTTGGTTTTTGCTCTCATTTTTTTTAAAACTATTTTGTAAACCAATTTTTAAAAATTGTTTTAAAAAGAAAACAAAATGAAAATCTGTTTGCTTATATTAATTTAAAAACAGTTTTAGAATTAAAAAATCAGCTGATAGTGACAGTTGTTAGCAGCTAATGGTAGTAATTTATGATAGTAATTGGTCAAGCTAATTATAATTTCCAATGATTAAATGTATTTTGAAAAACAAGAAAAACAAAACAACTTTCAGGTTTTTCTATTTTTTTATTTTTAAAAACAAAAAATTAGAACAGTTTTGGAAATAATTAAATCAAACAGTTATCTAAATGAATTTTTAAATTTTTTTTTGTTTGAAAAAAAAAATTAAAAACAGAACACAAACAGATCCTAAAAATGCTGAACTTTGCGTTCCAACAACTTTCCTGTCCTGATGGCTGCTACATTTTCTATTCCTTTCAGGTAGGTGATCCAGCTCAACTTCCAGCAACTGTGATTTCAGAGGTTGCAAAGAATCATGGGTATGGTTTTTTTTTTTTTTTTTCCTTTTGCAATGATAGTCAGATAGTGATACTCAAGTCTATCCATATCATTTTTTTGGATTAAGATATTCACCACATAATTTGTGTTTTTTGGTTTCTTGGATTTAAGATATGGCAAGAGCTTGTTTGAAAGATTGAAGGAGGGTGGCTATCCTGTGAACATGTTGAAGACCCAATACCGAATGCATCCTGAGGTTAGTGCATTAGTGGCATTTTCAGAGAATAAACTGTTGACTATGCGTGATCTTGCCGTTCATGAGTGAAAACAAAATTCTTAGGTGATGTTGTCAGGAAGATTTCTCATCTACCTCTTTCCTTTTAAAACAATAAGAGCGTAATCTTGCTGTAATTTACCATTGGATCTATCAGTTATCCAGTTTCAACGGATCCCTGTTTCATGTGGGCAGTGAGATTGCATTCCCTGCTCCTTTTTTTTTTTTTTAAGCCTTCCTGGATTTTTATACTTCATAAAAGGATGACTAATACAATAAAGTATGCAAAAAATGTAATTAGAGTGGAGTGGAACTTGACTTGAGTCATCCAGGATTTTGCCTGCGGGTTTTCCTGCAGTTATCTACATCTCATTATTTATGATCTCTGCCATGGATTTGTTACGCTGATTAAGTAGGTATTCTGATGGGTGACTCTCAACAGATTAGAAGCTTTCCTTCGAGGGAGTTCTATGAAGATTCACTAGAAGATGGGGAAGACGTCAAATTCCGGACAGAACGAGAATGGCATGATTACTGTTGCTTTGGCCCGTTTTGCTTCTTTGACATACACGAAGGGCAAGAGGCCCGACCAGCTGGAAGTGGTTCATGGGTAAATGAAGAGGAAGTTGAATTTGTTCTGCTCCTTTATCAAAAGCTGGTAACACTGTATCCAGTACTGAAGTCTGGTAACCAACTTGCAATAATTTCTCCCTATAGTCAACAAGTAAAGCTCTTCCAAAGACGTTTTGAAGAGACTTTTGGAGTGTCATCAGAGAAAGTAGTAGACATATGTACTATCGATGGTTGCCAGGTAAACCAAACTCAATGTTTATAATGATGAAAATATTGTTGCCTATGGTATTCATCAAATATTAAATACGGAAAATGTTCTGATGAGTGATTTTATAAAGAGATTGAGCTCTTTCTATTTAACTATGCCTAGAAAATTTTTACATTAGATTCTTGACTTGATAATATAACGTAAAAATTATTATGAATGTAGTTCTAATGGATGTCCGTGGAACACAAGATGCCCAGGAAGGTGCATCTTTGAAGGTTTCCAAATGAAATTCCATTGTCTGAAAAATATAAGCGATGCCTACATTGAATTATAGCTATAAATTATTAAATTGTAGGATAATTCAATGGAGGAAGATGCTACGTGTACTAGTCATGTATGAATGAAGTGTAACTTTCATCTTGCATTGCTAACAAGTTGTGATCGAAGGCTACATTTTTCTGTCTTTTAGGGACGTGAAAAGGATATCGCAATATTTTCTTGTGTCAGGGCAAGCAAAGATAAAGGGATAGGGTTTTTGGAGGATGATCGGCGAATGAATGTCGGCATCACTCGGGCAAAGTCTGCAATATTGGTATTGTACCTTCAATGCTTCAGTTTCCTTGGTTACATGCTTCTTAATGTGATCCAAGTCTTGGATCTTTTTATAGGTGGTTGGATCTGCCTCAACATTGAGGAGGAGTGAGCGGTGGAACAAGCTTGTGGAAAGTGCTGAGAAGAGACACTCTTTGTTGAAGGTAATGTTCTGTTCAGTCAATTGGGTGTGTTCATTATTTGCAGTACAAGTTAAAATGTGGTGTTTTATTGTGATTTTAACTGAATACTTAAACCCGGGGACCATCTTGACAATTTGGTGCTGTAGGTTGGCAAACCGTATTCATCGTTTTTCAGCAATGAAAAACTGAAATCCATGAAAGCAAAGATAACAGAAGCACCAGCGCCACCGCAGATGGTGGCGGCAGTGGATGAGACTGATAATAATGTACCGCTTGACAATGCTGCAGCAGATGCGGACCAAGCGCAAGCTGAGGAACAAGACTATGGGGATGGTGAGGCAGATATGGAATATGCTGGTTATGATGAAGATTAGATTACCCCTTATTAATCAAAACCCATTTCTCTGCTCTTCCTACTCTTCATTCTTTGGACAGCTCAGACTGAACTGTGACGGTTCAGGATTGTGAATCTGGTTTGTCAATAGAGTTGTCTTACTTGGCAGATATAGGTTTTATTTAAAATCTGTGACCAGTTTTTTTTCTCCCTGAGGTTATGAGATGGCCTAGAAGAATTGTAATTTCAACACTAGTTTTTCTTTTTTCCTGAAAAATGGCAAGATAGCATGTAATCATTTATGTAAAAGGGGAATTTCTCTTTGGTCATCAAAACAAGAAAGACCATCCACTTTTCAATTCGTATTTGTACTCTTCAAGATTTCTGGACATCTAGGGAGGCGATGTTGGCAAACAATGGGGAAGATATGCAAATCTTCATTGATTCCATTTTAAAATCAAAAGGTGAATATAAAGCAAGACAGTCTTACGAGTATATAGGTGACAAGATTATGACATAATTAGAATTTGTATTGGGATGGAATTGCCTGTATGCAGATAATTATTAAATAACTCAAAATGACATAGAATCACAAATAAAATGTTAATTTCTTTATATTTATTTACGTTAAACTGATTAGAAAGCACAACGCTAGACAAGCTATTTAATAATGTTGGACAAGTTTTTGAGGTCTTAAATTTGATAATGGTCGCCCTGCTATTTAATTTACATATTTGAAATGTAAAAGTTGAGATCAAAATGATAGTCAAACATAACTGTTAAATGGAATCTTGAGAATTGAATCAAGTCTCACTAAAGGTAAATCCAATCAGTTTTCAGTTAGACATGTTCGTCTCGTTCCTTAGACTAGCTAGAGCCTAAAATCATGAGCACTTATTTTTTTTAATTCTTGAAATAAAATGAAAACTATCCAGAACAAAATTTCAATTCCAAGATTAATTTTTACATGTAAAACACAAATCTCGTGGATTTTGTCACTGCCAGCTTTCTCTTTTTCAACCAAAAGAAAAAACACCAAAATTTTCACTCACAGACATAACGGCATGTCGTGCGCTGATGAGCTGAGTACTGCATTGCAAGCCCTACATCTGGATCAACACAATGTGCGGCGCCATAGGACGGTTTATATTTCTCGGACATTTCTTGAACATCAGTCAACAGCTGAGGCATCTTCAGCACTTCATCTGCATAATGCCCCACTTTAATCAGTCCATTTGAATCGCCTTTGAAGGTTTCAATCAATGCAACCCCATGTTTTTTCGGCAGCCACACATCAGGGCTCACCGCCGTTGGTACCTCTGCGTCGGAATATTCTAAAGGTGGCGCAGATATTGAAGAATAACGATACCCCAGTGACTCAGAAGTCGTTGTAAAAGCATGCGAGAGCACTGGCGGAGGAACATAGACGTTCGCCGGCAATTCAGTCGAGCTAGCAGGAGGAATACCATGAATCACAGGCGAGTGTGCCAGTAAATGGCTAGCATCCAGAGCATGAATCATTTGATTATCTAGAGAATTTGATTCATCAGGATCTGGAGGAAAAAACCGCTTGATTAAACTGAGAAGCAGCGGAGAAATGGCTATCTTCTGGTGCACCAATCATTAGATTATCCAAAGAATTTGGTTCATGAGATTTTGGAGGATGAACCGCTTGATTGATCGGCGAAGCAGCGTAAGAATGGCCATCTTCCGGAGGAAGAACCATTGTATTCTCCAGGGAGTTCGGTTCATCGGATTCTGGAGGATAAACCACTCGATTAAACGGTAAATCAGCACGAGAATGGCTATCTTCCGGAGCATGAATCATTATATTATCTAGAGAATTCGGGTCATGAGGTTTCGGTGGATCAGCTGCTTGATTAAACGGCGAAGCAGCGTAAGAATGGCCATCTTCCGGAGGAAGAACCATTGTATTCTCCGGGAGTTCGGTTCATCGGATTCTGGAGGATAAACCGCTCGATTAAACGGTAAATCAGCACGAGAATGACTACCTTCCGGAGGATGAATCATTATATTATCTAGAGAATTCGGTTCATGAGGTTTCGGTGGATAAGCCGCTTGATTAAACGGCGAAGCAGCGTGGGAACGGCTGTGTTCCGGGACATGAATCATTTCCAGAGGATCCAATTCGTCAGATTCTGGAGGATGAATCGCTCGATGAAACGGCGACGCCGCTTGAAAATGGCTATCAGCATTAGCGGGTTCACGGGCAGGAGCGTGAGCCTTTCTATTAACTGGAGGAATATTCTCCCCTGGAGGGCGGGCGGTCGGACGCGGAGCCATAACCGAATGACTCTCCGAGGAACTGAAACCACTTCTTGGAGGAGAAGACCGACGATTAGGAAAACCAACTTGAAAACCAGAGACAGTTTCAGTGGCTGTATTCGATCGAAGACTGATAATGCCATTAAGGCCGTGAACGGCGACATGGCGTCCATAGAATAGACCGGGAAAAGTGACATCGACACCGCCAACGGAGACCGATCTGGGCTTTGGGTAACATTGAGGTAACGACGAAACAGGAGGGTGGGGAGAGAAAAACCGGCTGGGAGTCCGAGTAGATTGGTGATAGAGAGACGGCGAGGGACAATGTGGAAGCGGAGGGTGTCAATGTAAGACGTCGCCGATTGGGTCATGTCAAGGGCGAACAGGGAAGAATCCATGGGAGCGAAGAAGGTGAAGGAACGGTGGCTTCTGGTGTCGTTTTTGCCGTAGAGAATCTCTATTTGGAGGTCGGAGGTGACAATAGCGTTGCAGAAGAGCTCGTAACCTCGAATCCGTAGAGTGTCAAGCATGGAATCTAATTCCTCAGTAGGGATGGAGTTGACGGAACTAGCAAGAAAGAGTATTCCGGTGAGTATGAAGACAACCCATTGCGGAGGCAGATTAGACGCCATTGAGGGCGAGATCGAGAGCTTCTTGAAGACTGAGAAGGTAGTTTTCTTGACTTCAGTTTCGTTTTGGCGGGTTTTTAGCTTGCCTCACTTCGCTTCAAACTTATACTAACGGAAATAGTCACTCTTTTCAAGTTTTATCGGGACTTGCCACTCTTAGTCTTAGGCCCGTACAAGGTGGGCCCATAAGCCGCAATTAAGCCCAATTTTTTTTTGGATTACATTAGGCCCAATTATTTTAAGTTTGCCATATACAATATCTCAACTTTTACTTTTTTTTTGTTTTTTAACTGCTTGTTTTGCAATAGAAAAGCCTGCAATCACTAATCACGGCCATGTTTATGAGTCCATTTGGAAGTGGAGAGGAGCCAAAAGAATCTTCATTTGGATGGTTTTTCATAATAAATTGCCAATAGTGATTGGAGGAGTCAAAAGGAAGTATAAAATGTTCTTCACATCCTTAGAGGTTGTGGTTATACTTCTCAGGTATGGTTGAAATATCTTCGTCCTAGATTTAGAATTCAGTTCTTTACTGCTTCTCTATTATCTGATTGGGTTTCATTGAATTTGAAGAAGAATTTGAGTGCTAATCCTAACGTTGATTGTTATTATGAATGTTAAGAAGAATTTTACTATATGCCCTGATCCTTTGAAAATGGATAACAGTTAGTTTATATAAAGCTTCTACATGGCATCCTCCTCTGTCCCAGTGGGTAAAGCTAAATGTTGAGGGAGCAATGTCACCAAAGAATAATTATGTAGGCTTAATTCGAGATTGTCATGGGAGTTGGATTGCTGGTTTTGCAAATTTTATAGGCCATTGCAATGCTCAAGACGCTGAGGAGTGGGCTATTCTAAAAAGCCTTAATTTCATGAGGGATTTGGGTTTCTCTTGCATTGTGTTACAATCTAATTCAAAGGCTTTGATTGAATAGATTTTAGACCATATGTTAGCTAAAACAAAGCATAAATGATTCATAGTCCCTCAACACAACCCTATTTGGTACAAAGGAATGAGGGAGTAGAATTGGCATTAGCACTGATTAATTCCAAGTTTTTATGTTTAGAATGAGGGAATAAGGATTTTAATCCCAAGCCCAAACTTATCTAGGTGGGATTACCCAATACCACCCACCTCTTGGTACCGGAAAATCAATCTTGGGATTGATTATTTTTTGACAAAAATACCCTCCATCTCTCCCGTCTCTGTCGTCTCTCCCTCTACCCTCCACCCCTTGCCTCTCACATCTCTGCCACTACCATCCGCTGGTCTCCTCCATCGTGCTTCCCACAGGCACAACAACGACACTGGAACTAGGAAGATGAAGAAGAAAGGCAACACTAGAACTAGCAGATCTAGAGATATGGAGTCGCGAGCCTAAATGTTTCACCCAGATCTAAACTACTTGTTGGCCACCATCGCTGACACAAAGACTCAAGTAAAGGACAGTTGCAATGGCACCAAGCACAAACGTGGGTGTGAAAGAGAGATTGTGGGCGTGAGGAATGAAGCTAAGAAGGAGGAAGATAGAGCAGACACAAGTTGAAGCCAAGAAGGAGAAAGATGAGACTAGTTGAGTCTTGTAGCTAGTTTTTGTTGCCTTTTTTTTTTTTTAATCTCACAAACCAAATATGAATTTAAATCCTTATTTTCAGTTTCAATCTCATTACCAATCCCATTCCTAATCTCACAAAATTTAATACTTTATACCAAACAGAGCCTTAAGAACCCTAGTGCACCAAGATAGCTTGGAATTTCAATCCCGCCTTTTTATAGTTGCCCTTTATTGTTGGGCTAACGCCATCTCTTGTGTTTTTTTTTTTTTTCCTTTGCATGGACGTGATATGTTTACTCCTGTCAATGAAGGGGGAGTTTGAAAATTCCTTTTTGCCTTTAATAAAAGGTAATAATCAATTTTTTTTTTCAATTGTACCCCTTATTTATTTATTTATTTAGGTTTGAATTCTTAGACAATTTATTAAAATTATTAATTGCAAAAAAGGGTAAAATTTAAAAGTTATATATATATATATATATATATGTATATATTATAATTTCAAGATTATAACGAGCATTTTTTAATTAATGCAAAACTGATTGATTTTGTTTTATATTAAGTACTGAAAAGAGTACGTAAATTTAATTATGTGTTAAGAAGTATAGCTTTATCTCTTACTACTATAAAGACTTAAGGAAAATATCATCTTTTCCATAAAAAAAAAAAAGAAGGAAAGAAAGACTTAAGGGGCTGTGATTGGACTTTGGAACACAAGGTTGTAATGGAAAACTGAAATGCCGTCTCAGTCAATCTCCATTATTGTTCATTCTTTTTGTGATCGTGTGGTTTAAAATGATTGTACGGCCTTTTTAATTATTTCTAGGCATTATTATTAATGCTCATCCTTGGGAAGGAAATGAATTGATTTATAAAGTTGATAATAACTTTTTTACTTTTGATCAATCTTAGCTATGAATGAATCGCATCTTATAACCTGTAAAGTATATCTTGTAGACTTGTACCAAAGAACAACCATCCGAATTAACCCCTATCCTTTTATTAAATTATATATGCACCCCAAACCCTTCCAGGGAGTACTACAAAATTTAAAATATTTTTTGTCATGATCAAATACATTATTTAGAAAAAAGATAAAATTAAATGAAAATGAATGCAAGTGCCAATATGAGGGATGAGAGTGAGAAATTAAATTATACATAATGGACTGCAAAAATATTAGATAAGGCAGTTTTTAACTAATTGAGTTAATGCCATTTAAAATTACATATTTTTATCCATATTTAATTGATTGTCTTTAAATGAAAGCAAGTGCCCCTAATAACCAATGAATAGCAAGTGCTTTTCTTTGTGTGGATCCTATTTTAATAAAAACTTGATGAGTCAATCCGCCTACACCTCTTATTTTATTGTTATATTGAGAGTTACTCCACGTATTACTTGATGTAAAATAGATAGTGAATTTATTTATGTCTTTTATTGAATCTTTTTCATGGGTCGATAGATTATTTGATAAGTTAATGAATTTTTTTTCGTGTTTCAAAATACGATTAACCAATATGTTAATTAATTGATTATGATAAATTGAATCGGATTTTGAGGTTTTTTCTTCTGCAGTACCTCAATGTGACATGAGTGTGAAAGGAGTTCAAGAATCTGTTTTTTTATAAGGGCTAAAATTATTTATTTTGGCTTTTTGACCTTAGTTAATTGCATTTTTTAAAAAAATCATATTTATTATAATTTGAAAGACCCAAAATACTTATATTTTTTTTAGCATGATACTTCAAAAAAAGTACCTTATAATGTTGAAAGAAGTGGGCATGTACACACACACTCCTCCTATTCATTATTATAAAATATTTTTAATTGAATTACATTCCTAATAAGTTAGCTAATTATCTTTAAAATAATATACTTTTTTATGTTAACCTTTATTTTTTAGGATATCTCAATTAAAAAAATTTATTAATTGTACCCCTAAATTAAAAGTATTTTGAGAAAAACATTATTAATTGCATCTTAAAAGACCCAAAATACATAATATTTTTAATACACTGCCTTAAAAAATGCCTTGTAATGCTATACGGAGAGACTAGTTGCCTTGCTCAATGAAATAACTGTATGCTTGGTTTTTCAGTTAAAAGTTGTAAACTGAGATTCACAAACATAGTTAGATCAAAGCATGTTTTGGCAAACTTGATTTTTTTGAAGGCATAACATGCATAGCCTGAGGCTGCTCGTTTCTGTAATGCATGTTTTAAACTCTGATACGTGCGCGCGCGCGCAAAAACTCATCATCTGGTTGGATAATATTGGAATATTCGATTTAGAGTCATTGATATAACACTCGAAATTTGGATTTTATAGAAGCCGTATTTAGATGTTGAATATTGAAACCTTCATTTTAACGCGAAGGTAAGCTCACACCATACTACTTTTATTTTATTTTATTTTATTTTATTTTATTTTATTGCCTGATATCTTAAGAAATTTGAAAGTATTATCACCTCTTGCCCATACTAATCTAAACTTGTTATGTAAAATTATTATTATCAACAACTTTATCAATATTTTAAAAATGTATTTGATATATTTATTTAACACAACTATATATACCTCTCAAAATTTAAAATAAATGATTCAATTATCTTGATCAGTTAAATCAAGCACTACTCAGTTACTACTTTGTTGGTTAGACGAAAGAAAATTATCTTTTCATTTGAATAAAAAGAGTAATTATGGAAAAAAATGATGTTAACTTAGTATATATAAAATATAATGCCATAAAAATAAAATAAAATTTTAAAAAATGAATATAAAGATGAATATCTTGTTCATATTTTAACCAAAAAAAAAGTAATATAAAATATTCATGATTGCATAACTAGACATGTTGCTTCTTGTTTTGCACAAAATTCATCGTAAATTGTATTGTTTATCTTATATATAGCAATATTTGGTATGTTATATATACTGATTTTTTTTTTCCCAATATGATGCACACAATAGATAATAACTTAAAGTTCTCTGATTGCTTTGCTATTATACTGTGAGATAATAAGTTAAAGGAACGCAACTTTTTTTTTTTTGTTTTAAAAAAGTTTAACTCTTGGCTAGCTTGTATTTCGCCCGTGACTTATCTCATTTATTATTTATATATCATGAGTTAGTTTTATATGAGGGCGAGGTCAATATTTAATGAGCGGAATGGGATTATTATATTGAAAAACATATACATGTTACAAAAGTTATATATAATTGTGAGGAAATTGGAAATTTATGATATTTATATGTTGTTGGAATATTTTTAAACAAAAAAATGTGTTTTTGAAAAGTCATGTCTTTTTTTAAAAGTCACATCTTTATAAATTAAATAATTTTTATAAAAAGGTTACGTAGGAAGTTATAATTATCAAAATCATATCTTTTCAAATTTTAAATTCACATTTGCAGAGTTATAAAAATAAAAATTGTCATTTGATAAAATAAAATGTATTTAAAAAAACTCTATATATCAATTAATATGATATTTCTTTTCATTATTAAAAATATCCTTTTAATATTAATCATTAAACTATGTTGGTTCATGAACCAAATATATAGGGTTGTTCATGAACTAACATAAATTATAATTTTTAAAGGGAGAATGACAATTAAGAATATTCTAAGAATATTAATCCTAATTATGGACCGTGAAATTTTAAAATTTTATTTAAGGATCATGGTCCTTAATTGTGATAAAAAAATATAATTTGTGAGACAGAATACATTATTGTCATTTGAAAATTCACTAACCCATCTTAAGAAAATTTGTAATGTATATTGTGAAAACATGAAAACCTACTTGAAAATCAATCGTTTAACAAAAAAATGTCGCTTGAGAATTTACTAACTCAACTTAAAAAAATTTCTAACAAATATTGTGAAAACATGAAACTCCACTTGAGAATCGATTGTTTAGTAAAAAAAACACCAATTTGAGCAAGTCACTTTTTATTAATGATTCTCAAGTAGGGTTGTATTTTGTTACAATATACGTTAAAAATTTTTTCAAGTCTAGTTAGTGAATTCTCAAGTGGCGCTTTTTGTTAAACATTTCATTTTCAAGTGGGGTTTCATGTTTTCACAATATACGTTAGTAATTTTTTCAAGTTGAGTTAGTGAATTTTCAAGTCGCATTAGTGAATCCCATCTCACAAATTACATTTTTTTATCACAATTAAGGACCATGGTCCTTAACTAAAATTTTAAAATTTCACAGTCCGTAATTGAAATTAATATTCTTAAAAGGTCCTTAGTTGTTATTCTCCTATTTTTAAATAGAGTTTTATTATTTAAAAAGGTATCACTTCAAAATATCACCTTATTATTTAAAAATAACTCTCACCATCATTCACTTCTATCTTTTTCTTTTGGAAATAAAGTCAAATTATTATTTTATAGAAATCATTATTGTCATTGGTGAGTCTTAAAATTAAATGCAACCCACTTTCAAAGGTCTTTATTGTATCAATAAAAAAAATTTGCCATCAACTCAATTTGCATCAGAAGACTAAAATAGGCAAGGGCGGATTAAACCTAAAAGAAAATATTGCCCACACCTTGAAGATATTATGCATTGTTTTCTTCTTCATCTCTATTTCTTTTATTCTTCAATGAGACATTCTTGCTACCATATATATATATATATATATATATAATATTGAAGATCAGGTAAACCGTAAAACTAATACTTTGATCAATTCAATAAAATATTTTGTCCATGATCAATATGATTGTGATTTGATTATGATTTTAACCATGTATTAATTTTTAAATTAGATAGTGTCTTAACTGGTTGAATGTAAATTCACAAGTCTCATTTTCTCAATACATTGTCTATGTAAAAGTTCAATGCCGACATTGCCGGTCCCGCACTTCTTGTCCACCATTTGTTCTACATCACTCAGATCATATCCATTCACCTTTTTAGGTTTTTTGGTTAAGAACATTCACTTTTATTTTCAAACATGTGAAACTATATATACATATAAGACAAAATTTGGAGTCAAATTAATGTAAAAAATTAAAATATTTTAAGCGCATAAAGCGCTTCATTAATTTCTTGATTCGAATCATGGCACTCACCTTCTTTAATTATTAAATAATTTCAATGGTAGATTACCAAATAAGATAATTTTGTGAATTAATTAGC